TAAATATGTGTTGCTGTCTCGTCACCAACATGGAGTGCAAAATCATGACATTAAGATAGGAAATATGTTTTGAAAATGTGGCACAGTTCAGATATTTGGGAACAATGATAACAGATCGAAACCTGATTCAGGAGGAAATTAAGAGGAGATTGAACTCGGGTAATGCTTGCTACCATTCAGTCCAGAACCATTTGTCTTCTCATCTGCTGCATAAGAACATAAAAATTAGAATATACAAAACTATAATTTGGCCTGTGGTTCTGTATAGGTCTGAAACTTGGTTTCTGACATAAGAGGAGGAACACAGGCTGAGGGTGTTTGAGAACAGGGTGTTGAGGAGAATATTTGTACTGAAGAGAGATGAAGAGACAGGAGGTTGGAGAAAACTGCATAATGAGGAGCTTCATAACTTGTACTCTTCTCCAAGTAAAATTAGAATGATCAAGTCAAAGAGGATGAGGTGGACAGGACATGTAGCACGAATGGGGAAGACGAGGAATGCGTATAGGATATTGGTGGGAAAGCCAGAAGGAAAGAGACCACTAGGAAGGCCAAGACGTGAATGGATAATATTAAAATGAATCTTAGAGAGATAAGATGGGATGGTATTGATTGGATTGATCTGGCTCAGGATAGGGAGCAGTGGAGTGTTCTTGTGAATACGGTAATGAACCTTCGGGTTTGATAAAATTCTAGGAAGATCATGAGTTTCTGAAAAATTGACGGCTTCTCAAGGAGGGCTCAGCTCCATGAGTGAGTGATTAGGGAAACAGGTTAACTTGGCCGCGCCATAGCTCAAGCGGTTAGTCGCTTGATTCCCACAGCGGAAGCTCGGGTTCTGTCCCGGGTCTGGTCAAGTGGGATTTGTGGTGGACAAAGTGCGCTGGGGAAGGTTTTCTCCGAGTACTTCGGTTTCCCCTGCCAATCTTCATTCCACCAAATTCTCCTTCATCATAATCACCCGGGGCAGGTACAATAGGCCAAACAGTGGCCGCCGTGCCGAGTGGACCCAGCTGGACCCCAGTCCCAACTATGCGAATTAAAAAAAAAAGATAAAAAAAATAACAGGTTAATTTCAATGCCGCCTATTTTAGAAAGTTATGTCACAATGTATTACGTACAGTACACCATCGAACTGTTTGTTTTGAACTCTTTGAAAGCTTGTACATACACTGAATTTTCTATTTTTGCTCAAGCTTTTCGCTTATAGTAACCTAAATAATATCATTTAGGTGTTACAGTTGTGAATAGAAAGAGAAGCTGTTTTAATGATCATAAATATGAGAGAGATAGATATTGCGATAAATATCAATAGAATATTAATCAGTATTAATTTATGAAGTGAATATTTTAGATGATAGAGTAAAAATTGCACTTGAAAGTAGGCCCACAATTTAATGGGCTCCGTGTGATTTGTCAGTTGGAATCCTTCGCGTAATGATATATCAACATTAACACTATGAACGAGGAACTGTATTCAGAGAGACATTGTTCATCATAAAATTTTCTAGAAACTAGAGAATGTAACTTTTCGAAAACTGGACCTGTTTCCATCCTGTGAAGATATAGTGTGTGATCAGAGTGAGACTGTTTTAATTCCGTTACCAGGATACGACCAGTGAAGACTGAGAACCCTAGAGCGTGTTTAACAGTGTACTGTAAGTTGTGTAAATCAGGGAGAGCGCTGTATTGCTTGTGAGTACAAATTGTTTGTATAAGGTGTCAGTATCTCTATTCACAAATCCGAACCCCGTCTATAGTCACCAATACAAGTAACAATATTGATCATAAAGTTTTTAGCATTGTACATGTATGTAGTTTCACAGTTTTCATGACAAATATTCTGTAAATTTCGATGAAATCAGTTGTTTATACTTTAAGCCACTCTTACATAATCCTGTAAGATTAACATAGATTTAAGGGCAGGAAATTGAAAGGAAGACACGAAGATGAGGCGGGACATATTGGATGCCCAAATACGGTTATAATTAAAACGTTCCGTGATCGATTGCATATTTCAGTACCATACAACGCGTAATTAAACAGCATACACCGTTTCACTTTGTCATCACGGAACTGTGGGAAACATGCATTAAATTAAACAACAGAATAAGTACTCAATTATGCACTGGTTTTGCTGAGTTATGTTTAGAATTATCGATGTCCTTATATGAAAATTTAAAATAAGTTTCACTCTATTGGATGACATGTGACCTAACTTTAATATATATATATTGATAGAACTAATGATCTAATTATGATTCTCTTGTATCCGGTGAAATTTAATAGAATAAAATAGTAAATATTTCATTGCAAGCGTAAAAATATTTTGGTATAGACGCTGAAAAAATATTGTAACTAAGACATGTATTATTAATTATCTAGGTCAAATTTACATTCAACCTTGTACTCATTACATATAGGTGACTGTCATTATACGCGCGGGGGTGTTTGCGTCATGAAAATTGGCACGAATATGAAAAACGCATAAAACGAGACTATATAGCAATGAATAATAGACTGGAAAGGATTTGGAAGGAAACATTTATGGCCAATTCGAGGCATTATCCCGGAATTTGGCTAGAGAGGCTGAAGAAAAAAACAAAAACTCTAAGTTATGTAAGCCGGTGTTTCTGCCGAGATTCGAACTGAATACCTGCCCAAATAAGAGTCGACAACATAAAGGCTATACTAACCCGTTTCATTTGACTGAATTTGTACACTTATCCTACACAGTTTTTGTAAATCCGCTTTACTCCTATTTGTAGCTGACTAGTTACAATTCTAATAATATAATTTCATTGTATTATTCACCTCGATTAGTTACAATACTTTGGATGAACCCGAAATTTTTTTAAAACTTAAGAATTCTGTCTTCGGGGAACTATTGTACAGGCAAAAATAAATATAGCTCTGCTCTCTGCCTGCTTCATGGTGATTTTCTGTCTGGTTAACATTCGACCCTGAAGATAGAGGCGATATGTTCCTACGAAATTTCGTTCGATTTTCACTATAATACATGGCGTTATATACCAGAAGATAGAACTGTTCATATACATCGGTTTAAGTGCCTAAAATCCAAAATTCTGAAAACTAACTCTTCGTTGTTAATAATTATATAAGGTTATACAAAATTCCCATAACCTGACATGAAGTGTTCAGTAATATGACAAGTTTGTGGAATAAGATTATAACTGCAACAGTTGGTACTACAAGTCACCATTGATCATGATGACAGTCTGCAATCGGATTATAAAGCCATCAACACGATTATTTGATGGATAAATTTATAACGTAATTTATGCTCCGTAACTTCTAAACATCTCGTACTTATTTCTAGATCCATCCGTGGGTGCTACATATGTAATCCTTTAAGGTTCAATCAATTTCACAATATTAAATTAAGGCTACAAATGTTAAGATCCCTCCTTAGGTATGATGTTTTATTTCAATCCGTTTTGTTTCTCTTTTGTTATATCAGAAATGTTTCTCTCAAACACCTGCAATAAATGTCCACGAAGGTGCACACTCATATGAAGGAACATGAAAATTGTTATAGTGTCACGTGATAAAGTGACTACAGACGGTGTTTGGATTGGTAATTGGATTTATTGACAGCTTACAGATTATAATTACAAGTAAGTTTGACGCTGTCCCTAATTCATGCACTCGTCTTCTCACTATAGCACATACTAAGACTTTTCAGTCTGTTAGGTCTTTGCCAATCGCTGTCTGGTAGCGGCTTCTAACGGCGGACGTTCCCCTTCCTCTGGGTCCCCAAATTGTCCCCGGCCTTAGCTATGGCAGCTTCTAGCAGTAACAGCTCACAGGGACAGAACTGCAGCAGTCCTCCAACTGACTGCTCAACAAACAAATAATTTCACCAACTGTACTCAAATGCACTGAACTTACTAACTGAAATGAACTCTGTGTATCGACTCATGTAGTTTCGGAGCGGATCCACAGAGAACACCGCTTGCAACGTATCTTTTATTTTTGCGTGAGGTTACCGCGTACGTGACGCGTTCCTCTGCTGCATGTGTACGGGTCGTTACCTAGCAACCGGTCCAAATGTTACAATATATATATATATAGTGACAAGTGGATCCATTTCCAAGTAACAACTGTATAAACGGACGAAAGTACAACAGCCGTTGCTGCAGAACAGCTCTGTGGACACGTTGTTTCCCTGGCAACGAGAGAACAGTCAATAAAGGAAGAGACCTTTCTTTGCGGTCCGTGCCTGGGCTATATAACGAGGACTAGTAGTTCAGTCGTAGGAGGTCCTCTGACGAAAAGGGAAGTCTCAAATTTGACACAGTAAAATATGGTCGCGAGTCCCAAGGGACTCGGACCCGAGAACGACTGCACTGGTAAGGGCCAGCAGCATATGAAAAAGACAGACCCGTCCTCTCGTCAGAGAGGGGGCCCCACCAAAACAAGACCGTAACTGTCACACAGTAACTTTGACTTTGACAGTTAATTGAGTGTAGTTAGTGAAGAGAGTTGGTTGGTGAGTGACCGAGTCAGTCAGGCTGTGAACTGCTGAAGTTCAGTTGTGAGCGATTTCTGTGAGAAGCTGGTAGCTGAGGCCCGTTAGAGCTCGGAAACCCAGAGGAGGGAGAACGTTAGCAGTTGGAAGCCGCTACCGTGCAACGGCTAGTAAAGACATGATTGTGTGAACTGGCTTGTGTGTGTATGTAATTGTGAATTGTAGAATGTAGACACGCCCTGCATCAAAGCGTCCAGTAAACCCAATTACCAAACAAAATGCCGTCTACAATCTCTCATACACGTGACAATATATACATCACATGACGAATAATTTAGGCAGAAAATGAAATTTCTAACAATGGAAATACTATCATAATATTTATTGGCACTTGAAGTTTTATGTTTCGCTGTTAGGGACAATAAAGCGCAGTGTTATGGATATTCATTTCGCTAAATTATTTTAACTCATAAATTTCTCATGAATACTTTTCTCTCATATATTCCAGGAGGAGCAATAAAGCCTAATACTACTTGAGGACACCAGTCAAAGCATGCCCAGATACAGCTTTCTACAGCACCTGTATCTCTGAGGTAAGTAAAAATGCCTCCTTTTATGTCGACATTTCCTTTAGTTGAAGATGTAATGCTAGCTTAAGGGAAAATAAGTTTAAAAAGTGAGGGTTTTAAGTGAAACTTTACAGACTATTGTAAGGTAGAATATATAATGCCTCAAGCGACATTAAATTTAAAACTTTAACGAATTTTCTTCTTTCGCCTGCATATAACTAATAATCAAGAAAGGGAAATACTGAGATCAGCACAGATATCCAAGCTAACACATATTTTCTGTTCAGTCCTTTATCTGGAATGAGTCCTTACGTTACATATGTATCATCACGTACTTTTAAATTAAATTATGATTTTTATGGTTATTTGGGACGTGATATTCACAGAAATAATCTTTTCTATCCACAACTACGTAGTAGGCAAGGACCGTTGTAAATTCAATATAAAGTATTTCTCAGTTTATTATACACTTACAGAGTAATTTACTTGCGTAAATGGCCATGCGGTAGCGTAGTTGGTTGAGGGGCTATGCTACAAGCCGGAAGGTCGCGGGTTCAAGTCTCGATGTGATTGGATTTTTTCAATTAACCTAATCCTTCCAGCCGCATTATGGCCCTGCGGTCGACTCAGCCTCTATCAGAAATGAGTACAAGGAATTAATAAAATAATTTTCCTGGGGGAGTAAAGCGCGGCCGGCCCGTAGGTCTGACAACCGTACCGCCATCTTTGAGCCGATTGTGTAGATAATGTGGGATCCTCAACATCTCACAACCCTATGGGTCTTCAAGGCCTGGTACAGGGATAGCTTTACTTTACTTTTTTACTTAAATGGCCACGCCTGCGGCCACCGTCTGAAGGGTGAATTAGCCATTGGAATTTAACGGTAGATTTCGGGAACTTGGACTTCCTCAATTTGTAAATGGAAGCAGAAGGATTCAGCATGAAATATCATGGTTTTCTGTGACCTCACATGCAAACGGTCTAGTGGCGCATCAAGCGGCTTTTCTGCGAAATCTTTGCAACTGTCACGTAGCGGACGTTTCATTATTTTATATACAGAGTGAGACATAATTCGCACTGGGGTACTTACACTTTGCTATTTTCATGTCCGGTAGGTGTGTTCCGCTGCTTATAAACCTGTCATTTGTTTGCTAATATCTTGAAGATATATCGTGTCATGCAAGTACAGAATGTAACGGCCGGCAATCTGATGTTAATTTTCTGTACAGATGACGTTTTTCGTAAGTAAAGCTGCGAATAGTTTACTTTACAGGTGAAATGGAACAGCGTCAAATTTATTTAGAAACTATACAGTGACCTTGTGTCACGTACTATGAGCTCTGTTTTCATTGTCAAATTTGGCAATTTTCTTTTTCAAAATTCTGGAAGTATTACACATAACATGTTGTATTCTCTAACAAGTGGTAGCCACTTTGTTATTGTGCACAGTGCTGATGTCATAAACAAATGAATGTGCATAAATCTAAACTTTAAAAGAAATCAACGTGTGCCGTTCAATATTAGATATTTCAGAGATATTTATTGCAACAAATATGAGAATATAGTGGAAGAATTAAATTTTAGTTTCTCCACCTAATGAAAATTAAGAATGGTTTTATTGCAAAATTTAACGTTCATCTTCATAGTTTTCGTAAAAATTTAATTGTGGGAGAAATCAGGTGGGACAGACGAAGACAGTATCCTGGTTTCTTGCATGGAAGTTAATCAGATCCTGAGCAGTGCTCAGTAGTCTGGGTGTCCATGAAAATAATGACTTCATTTATTTTAGGATATAAGTTTTGTGACCTTAAATCAGTATAAGTAATAATAAAAATAATAAAGTTAACACTTTTAACACGTTACTTCCCCTCAGTAAATATCAGGCCGTTAAATACTGTTTAGGGATGTAATCATTCTTCATTTTGAGATGAATACGAAAATCGCGCATGCGCTCTGCGGTCTTGCTGATACAGCGATACATACAGTAACTATAGCACTTTAAGAAATTCGTTTTAGCTCCCACTTCTAAACGATGATATAAATTGTTGAATTTTCTGCAACAAAACTTGTTGCTAATTTACTTTTAATGCATTTTAATCTACAGGATTCTTCAGATTCAATCAGATTTCTCAGTATTTTTTTTATTGCTAGTGGGGTGGGACTAAGTCCCTTGTACTCCGGCCACTTCTGGCCTATTGTACCAGCCCCAGATAGTAGGTAAGGGTGATTGTGGAGCAATTGGTGGAATGAAGATTGGCAGGGGAAACCGAAGTACTCGTAGAAAATCTGCCCCAGCGCCACTTTGTCCACCACAAATCCCACTTGACCAGACCCGGGACCGAACCCGGGCCGCCGCGGTGGGAAGCCAGCGACTAACCGCTTGAGCTATGGCACTGCCATTTTGTCAGTATTAGTACTACAGTTACTTTCTGGTATATGTTATCACGTGTATGTGTGGCTATAGACGGGGTATGAATTGGTAAATGGATTTATTGACCACTTACATGTCATAACTACAGACAACTATAAAAAATCTCTTATTTGCACACTTTACAAATCACCACACTCTGAGTCTTTTTCAGCTTATAGTGTCTTCACTAGTCTTTGCTTGGTAACAGCTCTTAACAGTGGAAATTCTTCAGCTTCTGTGCTCATTCATTACTGTCTAGCAAATATCCCAAAACTTAACTATGACACCATCTCTTCTCAGCCTCCCTTGCAGAACTGGGCTTTCAACTGACTGGATCGTCCCAGTTGTTCCGTATAACCCCTTTATGCAGACCGAATAGCAACACCGCTTCCAACAATAACTCTATTGTTGCATGCATATTCGTTACGACATGTTTCCTGATCCGTTGCCTATAAAATGGTTGCACAACACCGTTGTTTATTCGCCGATCTCGCAGTCACTGTATAGCAACGGCTGAACACGCTATAGTATGCTTCTCTTAATAATGTATGCAGCATAAGTATATTCATCTTGAACCAGGAATATATTTTGTTTTCGGGTCATTTTACACTCAGTTCTTCTGGTGGCCAACTGCACGATGCTATCAGTATAGGTATGGCAGGCAGAATATGGCGTCGAGTAATAGAGAGATAGGTACACGAATAATTGGAAAGTATCTGGAAGGAAGTATCAATGGTCTCACTCAGGCATTAAGCAGGTGTTTGCATGGAGAGACCGAGGAAAATCACAAGGAACATCAGGTTAGTCGGTTTCCATACTGAGATTCGAATTCAGTACCTCTCGAATACAACCTGTTTTATCGGGGGAATTTATGACTAGCTGACTGACTACCAGCTTCTCAAAGAAGACTCTTCAAAAATTTAGTTAAAATTGAATTTACATGCTTTTTCATATAGTTATGAAGCCGCTTTTCGCTAAGGCAGTACTTCTCAGTTTTTTGTAATCCACTTTATAGGAACGAAATTATGATAATACGTAGTCCATAAATCATCTTAAATTTATCGCTGTATTTTTCAGGAACATAAATTCTCTTGTGTGGCCGTCAAAACAATTTTTATGGAAACCATTAACGTAAAGAATAAGATTCCATAGGCCTTTGAGAGATCGGTGTTCTTTTGTTCATAAAATGGACGTTTAACAAGAAGTGTTATGCATTTTACCCTATCGACACATTTTTCTTTTAACAATAAAAATATTGCAAGTTGTATAAGAAAATAAATAAAGAATAGTATTAATTAAAATTTCGTACGTCAGCTGAAAACTTTTTAGAACCTTTCATTCTTGTGTGCACTTAAAACTTTCAGGACGATCGTTTTATATCCTTCTCCAGGGAAACGCAACAGAATTATTTATAAGCCTAGCGGATATTGTGACTGAATTAATGATACTTTAGCAATGCGTTCCCCTTTTGAAATAAAAGTATAGGTTTTATTGTTTCATAAACTATAGCTGAGAATATAGAGAAGCTGAGTGCCCCTTTATCTAAAAAAATAAAAACGTAATGCGCTTATTCGTGTCCAATATAAACCCAATGTAAGAAACATTTGTAGGATTTGAGGTTCTCACAGCGGTCAGTAGGACGAGCTCTATCTTGTTGGATGGAAGGTCATAGAGTCCATTGAAAGTCAACCGACTTATCGCAGGAATAGTGAGGCTGAGTCCGTAAGCCACTATTGGCTTATTGTACCAGATTTAAATGATACATGATGGTGATTATGGAGTAATTGGTTGAATGAAAATTGGCAGGGGAAATCGAAGTACTCGGAGAAAACTTACCCTATAGCCAATTTGTGCACCACAAGCCCTACATGAGGATACCCGGGCTCTATCCTCAGGGTCGAAGTACAAGCTAAATAAGATATCAGCGTGAGGCAGATAGCAAGCGAATGGGCTTCACTCTGGTTTTGTGCTTGATTTTTTCTTCTAAAATGAATATGATTGCGATATGGTACTCCCGAAACGTTGGTTGACTTTCAAAGAATTACATGCCGTTGTAGCTCAGAACTTAGAATTATTCCTTACCACAACAGTGAGGACCTTAAATCTATCATTTATTAACATACTAGGGAGAGTCAGTAAATAGGCCATAAATGGAATTAAAACGGCTGTAATGGGCGTAACATGTTTTCTATGTTTATCACTAGGTAGCAGCACAGTACAGCTTCACGACAGTAGTCAAAATGGCGACCGCGTCTGAGGAATACGCTACAGAAGAGCAGCTTTCTCTTTTGCGTGTTTTGTGGGCAAAAGAACTCACTGCAGAGGATATTCATAATGAAGTATTTCCTGTTTATGTTGGGAAGCGTTTGTCGCGCAAAGTGATTCACATCTGGGTCGAGATATTCTCTCAAAGACTTTCGAAAGTTGCATGATGCCCGACCAAGTCCCTCTGTTGAG